AGCTTAGAAATTCTAGTCCCGTGATTTTCATTGGAAAAAAAATCTAAAATTCTAAAATGTAAAAGACTAAAAGAATAAATAAAATTTCATTGAAATTATAAAAAAACCTCTAAACTAAAGCTCATGTTTCCCTCCCAAAACTCAAAAAATTCCCCCAACCCTCCAAAACAAAATAAAACGAGGGGACGAATGGACCTAAAACAAATTCCCCGTCAATCTGTCCGGCGGTGGTTTCTTTCTAGTCTTTTGATTAAGAAAATATTTACAAACTTGTTGAGTCATCATTTAATTGCTTCAGTTGAGTGGGGCACTGGATCCTAACAGTTCTTTTCGGTCTTTTGATGAAGAAAATTTTTATAAACTTGGTCATGAGTTAGCTTAAGACTTGAATTTGAAGGATATGAGATGCATTCTTTGAAGAATGGGCTAAAATATTATGCCACTCATGTGGTTCGTTTTCATGAATATAAAGTTTCTTCCCTTGCAAAATTACTAGAGAAGACGACGGAAACAGGGATAGATACACAATACAAACTTATTTGTCGGTTGATTCGTCTAGTGTTGATCTTGCCAACGGCTACTACGGAGAGAAAATTTTCAGCATTGAAACATGTGAAAATTTATTTGCACAAGAACATGAGCGATGAATTTCTCGTTGATTGCTTAGCTATTTTGTTTGAGAGAGAGTATGCTATTTATATGGATGAAGATTCTATTATTATGGATTTGCTAAATCAAAAACCTCCTTGTACAATTGAAATTGTAATGATAATTATATTGTTAATATATATTTTTATTTATAGTGTCTAATATTCTAATCAAATGCGACTCAACGATCTATTATATCGTGAATCTGGCGTTGTATTTAGTTAGTCTTTCTTTTATTATAGTTTATCATAGTTCCTTCGAGTTATTGTTCTACTTCGTACGAGTGTGTGAGACTAGGGATTGCAATAAAACCCGAACCCACGAGTAACCTACCCGACCCAACCAGGTCAACGCAGGTAAACCCCGTGTTGATGTATTTTGGGTTGGGTTCGGGTTTAAACCCGTTCACTATTAACCGGGTTGGGTTTGGGTTTAGCTATACCCGCCCCATGGATACTCGCCCACCCATATAATTAATTTTTCCGGTATATTTAATATTCTAAGCAACTAATTTTTTTTATGTTTGTGGAGATATATCTAATTTTTTTTTCTAATTGTGTAGAATGAAGCTGATATTATAGAGTGGAGAGTGAAGAAGTCTAATTGACAAGGGAGCACTTCTACTATGCTATATAGTATTGGTGCTTTAATGTACAACTTAAAGTTGTACCATAACATTAAATGTATAATTTAGGTTGTACCATAAAGCAATTTGTACCATTATGTTATGGTACAACTTTACAACTTGAAGTTGTACCATCACATAAAGGTACAAGTTCAAGTTGTACCATAAAAGAATTTGTACAAAAAGTATAGGTACAATTTGAAGTTGTACCAGAACGTAAATGTACAATTTTAAGTTGTACCATAAAAACAAAACCCTATAGCACCAATACTATATAGCATTGTAAAATTTCTCTTGACAAGGAGGAAAAAGTTTTCAATTAATCATGTTGTTTATGGATAATTTGTGATTTGCTTCAATTTTCTTGACTTTTCTAGATTGGTGTTGAACAATTTGTATGGTTAATTTGTGATCTGCTTGAATTTTCTAGAATGGTGTTTTATATGTGAATAATTTGTATTGAGATATTGATAATTGACTTTTATTTTGATAGGAACTTGTTATTGTAAATTTTTTACGACAAAAACCCATGGGTACCCATGAACCCGTGGATACCCAGCGGGTTGGGTTGGGTTTGAATTTTCCAAACCCATTAGTTTTACCCCGAATTTTTTTTTTCACGAATAAACCCATGGATTTGTATTTGTGTTTGACAAAACCCGACCCATTGCCACAGTTATGTGAGACACGAAATCTGTCAATTCTGTGGGTCGTAAGTCGTAACATCTACCCACGGTAGTGTTGGGTTATTTTAAGGGCAATGTCTATTTTTTACCCAAACCTTTTTCAAATTCTTTTATTTTAACCAAACCTATAGAAATTCTATTTATTATCCATAGGTATTATAATTTATCAAAGTCTGGGCATTCATTCTGTTACCGTTACTTATTTAGTCCACGTGAGGGGTGAGATTTTGTTTTGTTTTTTGATAATCTTTTTATTAAAAATAGTAAATGATGGTATTATGACCGTCACGTAGGAAGTCAACTCATTATGGTCATACTTAGTCAGCATTACTAACAGAAAAGTTGACGGAGAGTTAACGTTTGGATAATTTTTAGGAATTCAATAGGTTTGGTTAAAATAAAAGAATCTGAAAAAGGTTTGGGTAAAAAATAGACATTGCCCTTATTTTAATGTCTTGCTTCATGTATCCGAGAAATTTGGTGACGGATCCCATATTTTTATGCTCATGAACAGTTCGATTACTTGCTGCAAGGCTTCTGCAATTGGGATTCAAAGGATCTCCATTTACCTTGTCCAGCCGACAGGATGTTCCCACCCTTATCCTTTGAACCCTTAGACGGTTGTTTAGCTAATGCCCTTGTCATTGCATTCTTGAGCTAATGTTCAGGTTCTCCATCTATCAGACCTTTATTCAATTCCAATCTTCCTCCACTGATGTCTGTGAAGCATCCTATCCTAGGCCATGTCAGCTTCTATATGCGATTAATTCAAGATTGCTCCAAAATCGCAAAGCCATTAACATAACTATCAGAGAATGGTACCCTGTTTGAGTTCGGTGAAAAATGTCACTTAGCCTTTGAATTTCTTAAAAACCGACTCACGCTCATATTCTGTTGGCTCCGAACCAGTCCCTGTCAGTCGAGCTTATGTTGTAATGCTAGCGATAATGCCATTGGGGCAATGGTATGTTAAAATGGCATTACCCTTGTTGAGATATAGATAAATTACAACACAGCAAAAAGAGGATTTGCTTGCCATAGTATTTGACGTCGAAAAGTTACGCTCGTAGTTAGTGTTACTCACACGTATTGCGGTCTTTACTCGTCACCGAGTATTGCACTACTTGCTCGCTGAGGCAGATGCCAAGCATCGATTAATCCGGTGGATACCAAACTCTATATCCCTCTAATGGCAAGTCCTCCCATTTTTGCGGCAGATATCGGCCTCTCTTACAAAATCGGTGATGGTATTAATGCTTTTGTATTGCTCCATTCACTCGTGAGGAAACATTGATCAAAGTCAAGCTACCAGTTTGATATGCATCACCGATGAGGCGATGACTTCTTTCAGGCATTATGGAGCGTGTGGTTGGGGACTCGGTGTGAGAAGCGAGAACTGAGAAGTTGCTGTTGATATGACTTGAATCGGACTATCAGCCGCTACGACTGGTAATCGGGGGTCTCGCTGACCGGTGTATGGGCTCAATGTTATTTGGGTTCGGGTTCCGGGTCTGGTCTGTAACCATTTCCTTTGTCAGATTGGATTAGGTTTAGACCCACATGGAGAAGTACTATATATACTTCTCATACTTCTCTGTAATTTGCAATCTCCTTGATATAGTGAAATCGGCTCTCTCTCGCCCGTGGACGTAGCTAACACACATCGTGTTAGTGAACCACGTAAATCGTGTGTCGTGTTTTCGATTCTCGCTTTCGTATTCTTGCTTTGTCGATTCCAGCGATTTCCCGATCCGTAGTAGCGCGTTTATAACAGTTGCCCTCTCCAGCTCTCCTTTTGCTCTGGTAGGCAGCTAGTCAGCTACACAGTTTCAATCACACCTCAATCACTAGTTTCAATCACACCTCAATCACTTTGATTCCCAAACTTGTTAATGCTGAAACCATGCGTAGGGGTGATAATCGGTCGGTTACCGGTTAACCGGTTATCGGTATACTGATTTCCCCTAAGATGTTGCCGACTACCGGTACCGGAAGAAAATCGGTTAACCGGTTAACCGATTATCGGTTAGCAGCCGGTTAGCCGACTACTACCGAACAACTCAACAAATAAATGCCTAATTTTTGTCTCCCCTCTCCTCACGACTCACGCAGCCCACCTAATCAAATCGCCTATCCTCTCTGAAACCATCCAATTCCAAATCACCTTCTCCGACGACCACGACTTCGACAAGCAAAGACAAAGCGGCCAACGCATGGCGGCGACAATGATTCCTCAACGCGTGGCGGCGACTAAAGAAGACGGCGGCGGCTTGACGGTCGTCAATACGGTGGCACGACACTATGTGGTGAGAAAGTCACGACGACAGCGTCGGGAGGTACTAGTCAACGACGAGTGAGATAGCGGGGACAATGGTAGGTCCGACTTCTGCTGTGTGCCCAGATCCCTTTCTCGACGAGTTTATCTTTGCCCAGATAGCGACGACGATGGTAGGAGACAAACCTCCGTCATTCCCTTTCCCAGCGAGTTTATCTTTGCCCAGATCCGTTCGCCTCGCATCGTCATTATAAGAGACTTCTGTTATGTGCTTGATTGGGGTTTGATGATTGATTTACTCATTAGGTGCGAATTGAATAATTGATTGGGGATTTGGGGTTGCTCTCTAGATTTTGCAGATTTGGAGAGGCAGAGTAATGGATTTTGGAAAGATTTTCTCATCCATGCGCAATGGGTTTCTCAGCGTTTGCTCTCCGAAGACAACCGTGGACTTACAGGAGAGAGGGGACGGCCAGAAACCTTTCTTCTCTAGATCGATGAAGGCGATAAGGTCGGACAGAAGAGAATGGCTCGCATGCAGGGGAAGGGAATCGGTATATTCGGTATACCGATTTACCGCCGGTTATTTACCGGATGGGAGTTGGTACACCGTTAGGTTGATTTTGACTGCCACATACGGGTAACTGCCGGTTACCGATTCAGTTACCGGTTATACCGTTAACCGGAAAACCGATTACCACCCCTACATGAGACAGATGCGACCCATCGATTTGTGCCAGGTGTTTTGACGTTTAAAACGAGCTGACTCGCCACTTCAACTCGCTAAATTGATGATGGTAAGCCGAAACACAAGCCTACAAATTGTATTGATCCTAGACGGTGCATTACAAAATGAAATACAAACAAAAGTACAAAACCCATCAACTTTCGTCTCCATCCAAACCCTGGTAAATCACTACTCAACAATTGATTGACGTGCACTTCTCTGAAGGAAAATTTTCACCAAGGGGGACACTCAAAGCAACTTACGGACTTTGTTTCATCCTTCCCTGGAGGGGAAGGGAATCAACTTCCAACTTTAGCTACCTTTCTTTGCTCTATTTGTCCTGTCAACGGGCATTGCATCTCCGTCCAACTAATTGGAACCATGGTTTCGCCTGTAAACGGGTTAGAAAACAAATTGATGCATCAAAATGCATGAATGAATCTACTCCTGGAAATCATTTGAAAGAAACGAAAATGCTTAACAAGCTTTACCTGCAGTGCTGTTAGCAGAGACAACTCCCAACTCGTTCTTTGCAGTAGAAAGATAATAAGCACGCGCATCTCCCAAGGAAAGCTTGTTAAGAGTTAAAGAATGACACAATGGACGTATGGCAAACCAAAATTTGTTTTATTTTCCAGTAAAAAGATGATTAAAGCTGCAACCTGTGTCAAGTGATGATGATCTCTTGAGAAAAGTAGCAAGAACCCGCAGAGAAGAAAAGGATACCACAACTGCTCTGACAATATCACCCGGGCGAAATGCCAGATGCATATCCACTTTGTCTATCTCAGTTGCTCGTACATCTTGTTGCCTGTTAGGATGGTGAATTTCAGCAAAGAAAAGAAAATCTATTTTGAAGTATAAACAAGGTAGTGGACAAGAGTGGCGTTAAAAAGCAAACAGACTATTGTTCGACTTGGTTTGGTAAGAGTAGGGTGGATGGCAGGCTAGTCGTAAACATTCAAAAACTTGAAGGTAGCACTTGAGTTTCATTAATCAAATGGAATTGTAAATTAGAAAGCAGAGGGAAAAATTGTATCAGCAAGTGGCGATTGCTAACCCAACATCCACCTAGGTTAGCTGACACCTAACTTTAACAATTGCTAAATCTGACTGATGGAGATGCTCGTACTCCAGCCAGGGACATCCAATGAATTTCTCCAATATGCTCAATCCTGATCAGAGATTCTAGAATGAAAAACCTAGTATGATACAGATCAGCTCGGCTGATGAAGCTAAAATACATAACAGGTTTCCATATAATCACGCTAACATCCCCAGGCTATTCATGGCGATGACAGAGGGCTCCGCTGGTTTCCTACTTCACATCATTCTTATGCCCTGAGCTATAATTTGTGCCTTTTCTGGTTCTCAGACATCCACATACTAGATATTGTAGACCCAAAAATGAAACCAACTGAAACAAGGACAGCATGACAAGAATCTGCTACATCCTATTCCTCAAAGCATTCTGGAACTTCTCTCTTGATATGAAAAATTCAAGACAATCACCTATGTTAAAAGAAGCAACATTTGGAAACTTAGCATGTACATTGAGATGCTTCTGACTTGGAACTCAAAAAGAGATTAAATCTCCTCACCTTATAACACCTGTAAATTTCTCCCGGACAGACTTCGTCCCAACACACATGATATCTGCAGAAGCGGTTTTAGCCATTACTTTCGTTACCTGTGAGGAGAAAGAAAAGTGAGGTTTATCAATGTCTCCCAACAAAAAGTAGGCTGGAAGACAAGCATAGAACTCTTTATATTAGGCAAAGCATGATGTTTGTTTTGACAATCAAACCCCAAGAAGATATAGATTTGAATGGACAACTAACAGACCATCTGAAAGAAAGAAAGAAAGAAATACATACTCGAGCAATGACAACAGAACCAGCCTCCGGAACAGCACCACGGGCTTTGTGTCCAATCACCTCCACCGTTGGTCTCTGCAATGGCTTAGCATCATCAATCAACAGACCCCAGAATGTGTAATTCAGATGAGGGTTCTTCTTCAAATGGCATGTTTAGTCACATTGTCGAAATAAGGTTTCAGTAATTACATATTTTGACTCTACAACTCTCAAGAATAATTTCACACAGAGCTTTACCAAAACTTTAGTTGATAAAACCCTAGAAAACAAACGAAATTCAAACAGAAAAAAAAAACGCTCAACGAAGCAACATCACTCGGACCAACGATGCTAGAACCCCGGCCACACAGATAAAAAAGGAACAGACAGTTTGTGTGAAGAGCAAGGGCGACCAAGAAACCTCAGAAACAGGGTAAATTAGAAGGCAGGGAAACGTAAATTCAAAGCCATAGGAAAGCCAGTGAACAGCGGAAAAAAGAGAGTCAGTGAATGAATGGAACAGCACCTGGTCGGGAGAGTCGGAAGGAGGAGTAAGAGTATGACGGAGACCGGTGAGAGAAGAGAAGACGTACTGGATTTCAGAGCTGCGGTAAGGAGCGACGTAAGCTCCTTTCCCAGCCTTCAAATCAGCTGCTTTACCCAGAACCTCTCCCGGCGTCACCATCTCCTCTTTCTCCCCTTCTTCAGGCATTCCTCCGTCGGCTGCTGACTTCGCGCCCTTCTCCTCGGTTTCTGCTTCCAGGAAATTTGTGTGCCACTTTCTTCTTTGTGTTCAGCGAGGTAGGGTTGCCACTTTGAACCAACCCGCCCAGTATTATTCCAGCTGACTCGCAATGGGCCGCTAAGATCTGGCCTTGTTCAGAAAATCTAGATATAATGGTGGAGAATTAAAAATATTTTTTTTCTTAATTAACTTATATCTTTTTTGTTTTAATTTGTATTTTAATTTTTTTTTTCACAGATGGAACAGGTTCGTTGTGCTCTACAAAATGAGATCCATTTTCAATAATTTTTTAGAAAAAAAAAGTTTGTGCCTCTCGGTACCAACTACATACCATATGGTATCTTCCGCGTTTTTAATTCATTTTTGAAAATTTTTGCACAGAACAAACGAGTTTATCATGATCTATTGGATCTACAAATTTTTGGTTGAACAAAATACAGGACCAAAAAATACCACACAATACGGGGTGGTATCTTGTGATACACAATGTTAAAAGTCGTAAATGACAGTTAATGAACTTCTACTATCATGTATTCGACCATCCTACAGTCTTGGCTTTTTCATACCATATGATATGCTCTTATTTCAATACCAATCAATACCACCATGGTATAGAATGGTAAAAAAAATGCCTCTTTTTTTATTCCAAAAATATATCAAAGTGGATATCATTTTAAAGAGCACAATTAATTTGATTTATCTGTGCAAAAAATTTAAAATTCCGACTTGAAATGAGAGAAAATTTGTCCGTTAAAGATTAAAGGGGAAAATATTAAAGACTTTCTAGGAGAGAGAGAAGGTGTTGATGTGGCGGATTCTGATTAGATTATGCATGGTTATTGAACATAAAGTTATGCATAGGATTCGTTCCCCCGGTATTATCCGACGCACAATAGGCTAGGACGTAGGCAGGTTTGGGGCAAGTTTGTCTAAATCATCCCCATCCCCGCTTTAAAATATTCAAACTCATACACTGCCTCATAACTATGCGGGAAAGGTTTTGTAATCCATTCACTATCTGTGGGTAATATCCGGCCCGTACATCCACCATTTACATGTAAAATTTCAATTATTACATTAAACACACCTACTATATCATGAAGTAGACTTTCTCGCTTCTCTTAGCCACTCACTAGCTATCTAAGAACATATTTTCAACTCTCATACTCCATTATTGAACTACTAGTTCTATTTTGATCTATTAGGAGTATATCACAAAGTAATAATCCTAGAAATGACTAGGGTTGTATTCCATGAATCTTTTGATGGAAGCTATTTTGAACCCAAGTGCTTGAATAGAAATGCAATTGAAAGTAAATACGATGGGTTGAGGTTCCTAATGATGGCCAAAATTCTACAGTAGGTAAAGAAATAAATTAAATGATTAAAGCAAGTCAACTGAATAACGATGAAACCTGTATTGGAAACTATTGTTTAGGTACCTTAATATAAACGATGATGCCCTATCTCTTACACTAATGCATTCCTAATTCAGTTTTCGCCACATGCAAAAGGAATTAAAATTATTTAATGTGTGATATCGCTTCATGCCACTAACTAATCAATGAAGTATGGATAACGCGTTGTTTAAGGCTCCAATGAGATCATAACATTGTTCTCTGGCTTTGATGATTTAATCTATCAAGCATTGATCATATGCAAGCATAAAGAGTTGCACAATCAATTCATACATGGATAAGCCAATAAACATACCATATAAGAGTAGTTTCCGAGAAATATATGATTGTATTATGATTTATGCACAAAACCAAGATAACATATAATAGATAACATGAAATAGCATAGTCATATCATTAAATCTTTGTAAATAATACTAAAAGCATCATTTAATTCCGCCTCTAGTTTGTGAATTTGGGTTGATTGGCCCGGAAGAAAGCTCCTCGATGAATTTGGTATTGATTGGACTTGCTCGACCTAGCTGCGGGGACTAGGGCTGGAAGTTTCGTACAGGTATTTGGGATATACAGATATACCGTATCGAATTTGTCTATATTTGGTATTACTGAATACACATATTATTTCGTGGGATTGAGATTATGATTGAGTTTCAATTGTTATTCAGTATTAGGGATTACGGGATTGTGATCGGTATATACCGAAATACCGATCAATATCGAAATATAAACTAGTGTGTATTTTATCCTCTCTACTAGACTCACTCATTCACTACTACGCGACCCTCAACCACCAAGAGTGTCATTTAATTATACATAGATCATTACATCACTATTTCACACTAGTATTAGTCGTCTCTCAACCTTAAATTCATCAAATTAAAGATTACCAATTACAAAAACTTGAGATGTTAGCTCTAGGCAACTCAACACTCTTTGCTTAGTTTCTTTGCTCTAAATTAAACAGTAAAATCTAATTTATATATTTAATTATTAATTGTAAAGGTACTTAATTTTGTATTTGATAATACCGATTGGGATACCGAGGTACCGATTGGGATACCGAAATATTTAGGGATTGGGATTGGGATACCGAAATTATTTAGGGATTGAGATTGAGATTGATTTCAGGATGTAATTCGGTATTCAGGATTTTGGTATTTGGTATTGGGATACCGATAACGTACCGATTTCCACCCCTAGGTGGGACTACATATTGGGCCGACGTGGTGGGCTTCCTCCAATTGTTATAATTTTTCTATACCAGGCTTCTCTTGGGTTTAATCGACTCCGTGGTGGGTTTCAGCTTAATTGGGCTTCAGTTGATATTTAACCTCCATGATCTTCTAGAGTTAAGCATTTTACTCCTCTAAAATAAACATATTAATCAAATAGTTATCAAATTCATAAAAACATAACAAAACTACTAAAAAAGTATTATATAAAGTGAAATATATTAAACATAGAACCTTGGGAACACTATAATTTATTGTTGTCATTGGACCTCTTTAAGCGCTCAGTGTATTCAAAGGAAAAAAGGAATTTATTAATTTGATTTCAGTATAATATAATAAGGCAGGTAAAATCAAAATTTCTACTTCAGGCTCCTAGTTACATCACCAGTTAACGTAGTTAAATTGAGGCAAAATAGACTTCTATAGCCATAACTCTTCACGGTTTGACAATAATAGCCAACTTTTGAAAAATACACGGATATAGCCTCTTTTTAAAATTTGCTTGACAAATTTAGCCATTTCAGTTACAAACTTTTAACGCCGTCAGCAACTCTGTCATTTAAGTAGATTTTAAGCTTATGTGGATGACACCTAAATGACACATCATCTCCAACTAAACTCGTCATGTCACATGGATGCCACGTCATATTTTAAAAAATAAAAATAAACTCCAAAAATAAACTTTCTTAAAATAAAGTATTGTTTTAAAATATTTTTACTTATTTATTTTCTCATCTACAAAACAAAAATTCCTTACTCCACCTTTACCAAACACACCAGAGTAGGTTGTCAACCCGCGGGTTGACCCGGACCCGGTTGAGCTAGTGGGTCAAGGGTTAATGGGTCAACCGTTTTAGCCCGGTTTGGCCCGGAAATATGGAAAAAGTCATTATATTGTACTTATCCTCATAAAGTATATCAAATCTTATCTAACATATAATATTACACCAAAATAACATATCATATATAGATCCAACATATAATGAAAATTCACACACACTTATATAACATAAATATTCAAATGTTCAACTTAGCATTCCAAAAATTGAGCTAGGCGAAAAGAAAAATTGGAAAATAGGCGCATTTCGCAAACCAATGAAAAAAATGACACAATTTGACCTCCAACCCGGTACCTTGTAGCGGTCGGCCCGACGGGTGCGTGCGGCCCTTTTTTCTCACCAGGTCAGGGTCAAAGTGGGTCGACCCGCGGGTTGACAACCTTGCACCAGACGCTCAATTAAGAAAGGAAGAACCCTAAAAATCATCTGATAACCCAGGCTCCTTTGCGTTATTGATTGTTGAACCTTCTTCCGCGACCATCTCGCCGAGCTCTCTCTATCTCTGTGTATTTATCTCTCTTTCCAACGATTTTCATCTCCTTCACGATTTCCAATTGAACATCAAAAAGAGGAGTGTTGGGGATTAGCCGTTAGCGGAAGTAGTGGTAATTTTGGATCAAGACAAAGGAAACATTTGGTGTTTAATCACTCAATTTATAATTCACTCAAATAAACATAGCCTTAACTTTTGGCTTATGTTTTAAATCACTCAAGACACACTTAGAAAAAAAAAACACACACACACGGCAAGCTTTGCCTTTGCCCACTCTTTCTTTTTGATTTCTCTGACACTACTATCTGTGCATTCCCATACATACATCACACATATATTTATATAATTGAAAGCTAATATACTAATAATGCAAGTTTCCCCATCTCTCTTCCATGCATTTACGTTGGGAACATGTTGATAATGGAATTGGCTTACTTGCTTCTTATCAATTTGCTGGATGTGGGACTGCAAGTTTATTCAATCGGTTGACATGCTTTCTCATCATCTTTACTTGGTGTATTATTTGATAGTTGCTCCTCCATGTGCTGCTGCTCCATGTCAATCACTTTGTTGGTGATAATTGCAAATTACCATTTGACACCCCCTCTTAATTTGCAATTTGGAGTAGCTCCTTGAACTTCTCGAACTTCTCACGGGTGACCGTCTTTGTCATGATATCTGCTGGCTGGTCATCGGTGTTGATAAATTCCATAATGATTAGCCCTTCATTGACGAGGTCTCGGATGAAATGATGACGCAACTCGATATGCTTCGATCTTACGTGAAATACTGGATTCTTTGTCATGGCTATGACTGACATGTTGTCACAATGAATAATGGTTGGACCATTTTCATTTTGCTTCAAATCAGAAATTAATATTTTTAGCCATACCGCTTCGCATGCTGCATCTGTAGGTGCGATATATTCTGCTTCCGCTGAAGATAATGCCACAGTATTTTGCTTCTTTGAACTCCAGGAAATGTGTTTTGAACCCAGGCAGAATATGTACCCCGATGTGATTTTTCGATCATCCAGTGATCCTGCCTAGTCACTATTGGTATATCTAATCAGCTTGCTTTCTGCTTCTTTCTTGTACGCGAGACCCAATTTTTTAGTAGCTTAAAGAT